TGTTAATTTCTAAGTATATGTATATACAGTTTATCTACAAACAATGATTTTTAAAAACAATTAAAAGTTGTTCATATTTTCAAACAACAAATTGTGATAAATATATTGCCTAGATTGAATTCTTGTACATTTTAAAAAAAATTTTGTAAAATTGGTATAGCATTCCATAAAACAAAAATGTACTTTTTACTTATAATATACATGTAATATAACAAATGTTGTATGAATCACACCTTTTATCTATTGTCATGTTTTTCCTTATCTTCTTGAATGCTATATTTATTTGTCACTTGCATAATCTTTTCATATTTTCTCAAAAACTGTCATAAAGACCTGTAGCCAATGATATTTTTTATTTTTTTTTAATTAATAAATGAGCCAATTAATAAATACATTTGAATAATGTTGCTAACACAACTCATGTAACAGCTTTTAAAGAGTTTAAGTCCTTACTTAAAAGAAAGATTTTGAATTTTAATTTATATTGAAAGTTTATAGAAGTATTTGTTTACATGATGTATATTATTTGTCACATTTATTTGTTTTTGTTCTAAGTGCATGTCATTGTATTATTTTGTAGCTGGTACTAGTGTGTGTATCCCCAATCCATGTCTGAATGATGGCGTCTGTACACAGAGTGGTAGCTCTTACATATGTAGTTGTTATTCTGGTTACACTGGAACAAATTGTGAAATACAACAAAGTAGGTTTATATTCATGCCATGTGTATATATGCATGTGTTTATTTTGTGCATGTTGGGTTTTATTATTATTTATCACTATCCTCCGAGAACAACAAACAAACAAACAAGCAAACAATATGACCCAACAAGACAAAATTAGCCCTTACATCGCAAATCAACTGTCTGCGTTAATGATTTTAGCGTTTTCATTTGTACTCAAAAAACAGTAACAGATTCACAGGGTTTATGTATTGTTTATTATCTTTTTCACTTAATTTTGGTCATCAAAATACCAGCTCATAAAACTCCAGTATTTCCGAAGTTAGTAATCAGCTGGACATTCAACACTATGTGATAATTTACATCTGCTTTTGGTTAGTCTCGGACATAGTTGTAGTTATGTCATTCCATATGCTGGTTGTATATGGCATACAAAAAACATACATTAAAACTATAGTAAGACTGAATGACCTAATATGATCTTTTTCACATTATGCCTATGCACTGAGAAGTGTACAGTGGTGTCAATTGTAGCTTAAAGGTGTGAATTGTTTGGAATTGTGGCATCAAACACGTAAAGATGCCATCAAAGATGTACTAAGGGTAATTGTCACTAATGAGATGAGATTGAGACTGAATTCAAAAATTAACTGCCTAATATTATAAAATGATAATAATATTGTGAAATGTTGTTATTGATTACTATTGACTGTTCAATGGATCAACACCATTCAGATTTGTTCATTTTATGACAATATAAACAGTTTTCTATTTGGGGGGGGGTTGTCAAACTCATTAGATATACAGTCACTGATTTCATATACTTGTTTGTAGCCACATGTTCTTTAGATACTTGTAAGAACGGTGGTACTTGTTATGTGGAAAATGTGCGACAGTATTGTGTGTGTACAGCTGGCTTTACTGGGACATTCTGTCAAACAGGTAAGATTTCATATAAACTTTAACTAGATGCCATGCTTTCATATTTATTGATGTTTACAATCGAGGCATGGGACACTCAAAATATGAGAATGATATGAACACTTGTTGATCTATATTTGTACTTACTTGATTAGACTGATACTGTAATTGGCAAGTAACTTGTAACAGTGGTTTACTGTAAAAATTAAATACATTTTATCTGCTTTCTGGTCTTGTAAAACTAATATGTCTAAACCTACTGAAAACAAGGGTGATAGCACTAGCAAGAACTCCTGATGTGTTGACAGTGGTATCTAAATTAATGATCCAGACCAAGTAATGATTTGTTCGACTCCCAATCAAAAATGCATGCAAAAAGCAGTTTCAGTCAGTATTGCTTCCTGTCCACAGTACTTTGTCCCATATAGTCAGTGGCCCATTTCACTGGTCCCTCCTGTTAAATGATGGTCAAGGAGAAATACCAAGCATACACTCAAACACATTCAGACCATTGTATGTTTCAGTAAAGACGGGAAAAATTCAGTCAGAGAAAGCCATCATGTAATTTCAGATGCAATTTTTGAACATTATAAAAACTCAAATGCACTGTCTCTATGAGAAATTTAGCTAAAATTAAGTTCTGTCATGATGCCATGCGTTGTGATTCTCTTCCTAGGGCTGAACCATAGCCGAGTTATGTTAGGAAATAATTTGTTTTTTAGACAATAATATTATCTGATTATCCAAATAGTAGTAATTAGAGGCTCCATGCATAAACAATATAATTTAAAACAGTTACTTCTAATGTTGCTTCTATATGCGGTAATATACAATCATGTTTTTTTATTGTTAGATATTAACGAGTGTACTGACTCTCCATGTGCTAGTGGGTCAACATGTGTCAATATAAATAATGGCTTCCTGTGTTTGTGTGAAGATGGATTCGAAGGAGATCTATGTAACCAAGGTAACTACATGTATTTATCATTTTTATTTATTGTTTATTTGTTATCTCATAATTGAAGACTGACATGGTTATTAATATTTTTATCACCAGACATAAATGAATGTGCTTCAGATCCGTGTCAAAATGGCGGTACATGCACTAATGGAAGAGATATGTTTAGGTGTGCATGTGTAACAGGATACAGCGGTGAATTGTGTGATCAAACTCGTAAGTATCGGAAAATATTCATCTGTCACCAATAACTTAATGAATGGTATGCCAGACTAGTGTCAGGTAGACTAAAGTTGAGCTGTACACCAACAAGTTATTCACATCTACTCTGGTCGAGCCCTTATACAGGCACAGAAATTCCTTTACAAACAAATGGGTTTCTGTGAAATCTTAGTTCAACCAGGCTTAGTTGACACCATACTGCCATTATGATAGGATGACAGTCACACTTCCTTGTCATATTCAGATATATTATTTCAGATTTAACCTGTTAATAAGAGTTGGATTAGTAGTAGTATTTTCATCTCTCTCTCTCGTTTTACTTCACCTTTTGTTAAAGAAAACAGAGAAAATGCTGATTTTCTCTCCAATATTAATTCTTTTATGATTTGTTTAAGATTGATTTCTGTGTAATATTTACATACATGAATGAACCTTGAACTCCAATTTCAAAAGTTGTACTTTAATTGAGGGATATTATTTTTAACCGAAATCTGCATTTCTCATAAAAATAAGGAATATCACAATAGAGAAAATACCAAAATATAAAATGAAGCAGAGCATCATGGGTATTTTCCATTTAAGTGCATGAATGCCAAAATGAGTGGCTAAGCATCTTTAAAATCAACTTAAACATAAACTTCTACAATTGATAACACATACTGCATAGTACATAAATTATATACCCTCATTTCAATGCAAAATATTTTGGTCTGGGTGTATTTCAAGTTTTTGGTCACAATTAAAATGAGAATTTTGAAAGAATTACGTTTTTTGGAGTAATTCCCTGTTCTATGTGACTTTTTTGCCTGCTACATATCCATAAACATATCACCTTGGCTGTATGTGTTAAATTATCTATTCTTTGGTGGAAGGTAAATTGATGAGAATATTTGGAGGGGTGCACTCATTGAAGTTTTAGTAGTGAATGACTTTGTTTGTTTGTTTGTTATATATTAATGCTGGACATTGCCTTTACTAAATCACAATTTGAGTTAAAATATCATGATTTCATCATTAAAACTGCTGCTTCCCAGAAACCAGTGGTACAACTTCTCTCAAACCGATTGACATGACACCCAATCCAGCTAGCCAGCCACTTTAAAGCCTGGGACTTCTCTTTATTTTCCAAATGACATCATGTGTTCTATTATAGCTACAGTCATTGATACTGGTGCCAGTGCAGCTGATGATGAAACACAACTAGAAGTATATTGGATTGTCATTATTGTTATCCTTTCAGTAGCTTTCTTATTTACTCTGTTTGCTCTCCTGTACTATAAGTGTAAGCCAAAGTAAGTACAAAGTATTAAATATTTAGAGTTGTATAAATCAGCCATGAATCTTACATTGAACTCTGTACAATAATATTGTACCACTGTATCTCCATATTTGACTTGTATACTAGCAGTCTTTCCAAATTTATTTATTTATTCACTTTTATTTGCACAACATTAATTCTATAGGACATTGTTTGAAGGACAATTACTGATTGTTTTGTGTTTTATTTAATTTAGAGATCGGAGTCTACTTTATGATGCAGAGGAAGCTGCTAAGAGACATAGAGAAGCCAAACTAAGCGATTCATATGACAGATCAGCAAACAATTCTGTAAATAAAGCGAAAGAAGTCAATAATCATGAAAATGAGTACGGATTCATCCCACCCCATGGAGGTAGCAGGTAAGTATTGCATTGTGGGTGGACTTCAGTCCCTTGAGGTAGCAAGTATATATTGCATTG